ATTGAAAACACTATTAAGTTTCTAATGGTAACATATATTGTAACAGCACAAACATCTCTGGTTCTCATTTCAAAGATTTGCGTAGCGACAATTGCGTAGCGACAATTGCGCAGCGACGATTGCGCAGCGATGATTGCGTTATTGACACGCACACATGCTTGAGCAGTTTCGCATTACACTTTTGCTAAAAGTAGCAAAGGTTAGGTTCACGAGGATAAAGGTAAAATTTCTTGTATGAGAGCCACATGGGATGTGCCATTTTTGTAGTATTCTACCCAAGTAACATTTTAAGTTTTATGAAAAACTACAAAGCTACTATAAAACAACATTCATAAAACCCTGGTCAAGACTGCTTTGCCATTGATGCTTCCACCAAAATCTCATTGATGCTAGAATCTGTCTATTTGGCCCACTCTGGAGAAGGTTCTGAAGGGTATATTTTCGAAGCTCTTCAAGATTGATTTACTGCAAAATGGTTGTACGATAAACGCATTGAGATCCATTTCAGAACCGTATATAAGCTACAATAAAAGTTATTTGGCAACAATTAAACCATTATTCGAACCATTTGCCCTATCTGCTTGCTTAGTTCAGTAGAAAAACAACAATCAAGTTAAAAAAGGATTCATAAATACCATCCGATCTTATCAAAATAATTAAAATAAAAACTGATCGTTTAAAAATCCTGCCGAATTTCCAAAATTATAAAATAAATCTCAAGACGTGGTCTAGTTTTTGGTGCCATATAAAATTTGATGTGAAATGTACGTGAAAACATCGAAAAACTTGAGTCCGCCCTCGGAAAACATCGATTTTACTAATTATTTAACATTAAGGAAAAAAATATACTCTTCAGATCGATCATTAAGCTTAGCCGAAATTTTCATTTCTCATGATTTTTGCATTCTAAACACTTTCTCATTGCTAAATTAACTAAAATAAAGTTATATCCAAGGAAATTTAGATTGAAAATCGAAGATTGTAAATAAACAAACAAAATAATTGTAATATCGCGGAGGCATAAAAATGGATTTTCATGGGCCATTTGTGAAAAAGTTATTTTGCTTTCAAGAAATCCTTAACAAATTTATAAGGTTTTGAAATGCCTTTTATGAAGAAAACTTGTAGACTGAATTGTATTTATCTAAAGCCATTTTGCTTGATCCTAACCAGTTCAGATTCATTTATGGTGGCAATGTTGCCTACAACATGTAAAACGTCAAAGTTTGTTTATCCTTCGATACTTGCGCTGTGCGATTCAGCGTTCTTCCAGGCGATTCTCTCCCGATGTCTTGGAAGCAGTTACTCAGAAAGTGTTCACAACATTTCGCATTTCGCACAGCTGTAACCTCGATCATTCCCGAAAAGATCCCCTTCTTTCGGATGGTTCTGGAAGTGCACCATCAAACGATGCAGGAATGTACGGTTGAATGATTTTTTTTTCCAAGTGATGACCCTTTCACCGAATGAAATCGCAGCTATGGATCGGAAACCAAGTAGTGTCCGCTAACTGACAGTTTCAGCGGTTTGCTTCATCTATTCGCAAGGTCTGGAGAAGGCTGGTCTGTTTTCAGACTGTTTTGACAATGTTTTATGAATTTGAGGACCACGCTCACTTCACTCTTCTCCACCAGATGCTCAGTCGTTGATGGTACCCGTTCCGCCGAACGTGCTGGTTCTTCTAAAGAACTAAATTTTACTGGAATCGACTTCCTTTCGGTAGTTAGCATCGTTTGAATTTTTCCTCCAACTTCGTTTATCCTTCGAGATATCCTTGCCATAAATTTGGTTTTTATTCACTATGAGGATCCATCATTAAAGTCCAATTTGTAAACAGAGGAGAATTTATGATACACTTTTAAAAGCCTAAAAGGCAACAAAATTACATTTTACTCTCATTTAAAACCGAATGGTTTTATGATTGCTTTTATAATGATAGAACAGGTTTATAGAGTATTTTATCAAGACATTAATAAAAAAAATTGTTAATGAAGTTTATCATTGATTTTAAGGACAGTTTTATGGTGGGATTGATAAAAACCTTAAATTTAATTTTAAAACAAAACAGTTTTTGACTTCTCGCCAGACTGTTAAAGGTTTTTAAAACATGGAAAAGGTGAACTACTAAGCGTTACGAACGTTTTATACTGTGAAATGCTGTATTTAAACTAAATGGATTATTAGACTGATGCAAAATTTGACTTTTTTGCTCCACAGTGCTTAAAAGGTTTCAAATCGGGTCCTGATTAGCCTCCCAAAGTTACAACTCATTTGGTTAGAAACAGACTTCGCACAAGCCATTTGGAGTTTGCATGTAAATTAATATGGGAAATCTCAACTTTTTGTTCATTGCCTTCTAGTCTTTTTCCATATTGAGCTGCGAAACAGTTTGATAGCCATTCTTCTAGAACTTTATCTCGGCTACAACTTTGCTGAGATCGTTTCTATGTTAAACGAGACTGGAAAAAGTTATTAATTATTAAAGAGATTGGTAAACTCATGACATGATCAAGCAGCTGCTCTGTAGGCAACACTGTATTTTGCAGTGAGATATAGTAGCCGTGATTTTTGTGTCCCATTCAACGCCCCAGAAACACCAATGTGAGCAGTTGATTGAGCATGATCATTAGACATCAGCGCATTAAACCATTGACCAAAAAGTGGTCTTGATCAAAGTTGTAGCTGGGAAAATTTCCTACAAGTACATATGAAAGCTTTTGAAGCAGACCGATATTGTGAATTATTAGATAGACATGAACAAAAATCTTGGTTTTACCATAGTAATTCCCATACAAACTTTAAATGGTTTGTGCCATCTCAGTTTCTCACCAATTGGGTTCAAATTTTGAGAGGTTAGTTTGGATCCGATTTGGAATCGTTTAAGTATTGTGGAGCGAAAATTTCAAATTTTGCATCACTCTAATGGATTATTCATTGCCATTATAAAACCATCAGAAATCAGAGTGGATGCCAAATGATTGCAGAATTGTTACTTGGGTACATATTTTTTTATGGTTATTGTTCTTTTATGCTGGCGGTTGATGTAAGCTATCTTAACAGCAGTTATAATTAAAACCTGCTCAAGATATCACAAATCCACCATCTGCAGCGAAAATTGAATCAAAAATCAAATTGGTAATGATTTGAAAAACGCCAGACGTATTCTGAGTAAAACACATAAAGCTAATCAATATTCATATAGGGGAAATGCATGTAATGTCGGCCTAAATGCCCCTAATTTGGGTTCATACAGGCATTCAGCAATCGACTAAATTGTCAATAACGGCCAAAAATATCCATTAGTACCGTCCCAATGACGCGTTCATCTGGATAAAATTGATAAATAGCAGATTTTTAGCGATGGGCCCAATCTCTGATCCATAGGCCAACATTAGAGCCATTTCCCCTATCTATATTTTTTGTTTTTTTTTTTTTATTTGATCATCATATCCATAATCTTCCCCTTATTTAGCCTAGTACTGCGGAGGTTTTGATTTGATAACATACTGGTAGTTTTGGGAACTTTGTTTTGCCCAATGTTTAGGAAAATTCTAGAAATTGCTCAAGGTGTTTTCCTGAAATAAGGAGAAAGTCAAGTATGATATGAGATAAATAAGAAAACCTAAATTATGGTTCTTGGAAAATGTTGACAGAACTGTCGGAAACTAATCATAATTTAAAGAAGAAAGGATAAAGGGACTTTGTAGATATTCAAAGAACATTAAAGCGATTTTCCGTCCCTCGGGTTTTTGTTGCGTAGCAAATGCCACCTTCGCCACGGTGCTGCTCGATTAAGTGCAAATGTTTTGCAACGTACCATATGAACTAGATAATAAACTTTTTGAAACAACGTCATCAACGTCGGGGGTGGACGCATCGTTATTTTAGGCAGATTTATATGTTAAGGGCGCTGGTCAATATTGGGTGCGTCTACTTAGCTCAAATTTAAAGATCACAGCACTGCTGCAAACATCTATTTATGTCGACAAGACAAATTTTTAGGCCTAATATAACCTAATTATTTCCAGGATGCTTTCTCGTACTGGCTGCGTTTGTATTGGATTAGTTTGGATTAGATTGGATTAGATTAGATTAGATTATATTAGATTAAATAAGATTAGATTAGACTACCGGCAATTCCAGTTTCAAAAGTGTGATAGGATTAACTAGCCCATTTCCGGCCTATTAAGCACAACCCGCACTTAGTATTTCTTAATCTAGCGCAGTTTAGCACCAAACGGAATGTTATTATTACTTATAGCTTCCAAACGCATTCTCATTGACTTCTTACAAACTAAAGTATCGTACCAAACGCATAATTGACTTGTTAACTCTGAAATCATGTACTTATTTGAAGTTTTCTGCTCAATAGGCCCAAATGGGCGATTAGGCCGAAGTAGTTCTCAACCCTACATACTCCTAAAATAATCTTCAAGAAAAACATACAATGATGCCCTGACATAAAATTACCCCTTCACTGTTGAATTTTTCATGTTGCGCGCCCCCAAAGTTGGTACAAATGTTATAATTTATCATCCCGGACACACAGTTTTGCCTAGAATTCTTCGAAAACATCACCAATTACTGAGATTTTTTCGTTGAAAATCAGACTCTAAAAGACATTCCAGTGCCAAAATATTGAGTTTTATTTTGAACAGGCGTCGAAAACCTCAAAACGAACTTCTGCTCTACCTTACTCAAAGCATATTTACGCCATAAAATAAATGATAATTTTAGGTTTTTTTACATTTGTTGATATTTACCTACTAGTGCTTGGAAATTCCAAAACCAGATTATCAGATGAAGACAGAAGCACAACAAAGAATAGTTGGATAATCAACACGCTGCCGGAACCGGTCGATGACTCACACGATGGGCGGGAATGGAACGCTGCCTCCAGTTTTTTTTTCTGTGCCTCTGCTACGTCCTAGATAAGACAACATATGCCTGTCCAAGCCAGTTAAAGTCAAGTCGTTAAAGCGTTCGGACCGGTTCACGAATAAAGCTTGTTTGAGATTGGTGGATCCATTGTGCAAAGTAAGCTATCCAAAGTTTAAGTAAACAGAATGACAAAGTTTGACGGAATAGTGAGTTTTATGGTATTTGCGTTCATAGCTACTGCATGGAGTCAAGAAGGTAAGTACTATGTTTGCAAAATTACGGACTATAGGCTAAAACCGAATTGAATGATCTGTTTACTTTTCTGTGAATGTTATTATTTATTCGTTTTCGCTATAGTGTTCCCCACTGACGATGATTGTACATTGCAGTTGAAATACCTATCAGTCATGGATGCAAAATGCTAACTGGAATTAAATGAAAAATAATCATCTTTTTGTTTTGCATTCCAAGCATGCCGTACACCAAACCAACGAGAAGGTCGCTGCGTACCACGCCAGGAATGCCAAAGCTTCAACGACTATTTCACACCGGATCGCATCCTTAACCAACACGAACTGAACTTCCTACAGCAATCCCAGTGTAGTTTGAAACCCCCGAAAATATGCTGCCCAGATCGTGCCCCGAGTACGACGATTACATCGACAACACCCTTACCAAGTTCTAACTCTGCGGGAGCTCTTCTACCGGACCCGAAGAAGTTCGAGTGCGGCTTTGACATGCTGGCCGATCGAATAATCGGAGGGAACGATACAACCCTGGAGGAATTTTCATGGTTTGCCTTGCTCAACTACGTTAACAAGAAAGGAAAACATGAGTTCAAATGTGGCGGATCACTCATTAACCGTCGGTACGTCCTGACGGCAGCGCACTGTCTAGACAATGTCCACCTAGATGGGGGTGAGCGATTGTAAGTAAATTAAAGTTTCCTTATATAGACCACGTTGGACTGACGTTTATCACCTTGCTTTCTTTGCAGTGTCAACGTACGACTCGGTGAGCATAATACCGCTACCGATGTGGACTGCGATGAAGAAGTGGATGAGAATATACGAGTTTGTGCAGATCCCCCGCAGAATATCGGTTTCGAGGAGATCATTCTGCATCCCGGCTATGGCAAAAAGGATCCCAACCAGCACCACGATGTTGCATTGATTCGACTGGCACGCGATGCCGAGATGAACTGGTTTGTGACTCCTATATGTCTGCCGGATGCGGAGTTTGTGGGGACACGTGCTGGTCAAAACGTAACCATAGCAGGGTTTGGTCACACTGGGCGCAGTCGTAAGTTAGAATTTTCGCAAAAAAGAAAAACCTATTAACTAATTGATGATTGATGTTTGTAGGCCACAGTGGAGTTAAGCAAAAGGCATTGGTTCCAATCGTTGACCAGCAGCAGTGTAGGCAAAAGTGGTCACGAATAACCCTAAGCGAAGGACAGCTATGTGCCGGGGCACAATATAGTATCGATTCGTGTTCGGGAGATTCGGGTGGACCGCTGATGACTCAGAGCCTATACTGGACCGTTGAGGGGATTGTATCTTTCGGCTATAAGTGTGGCCTCGAGGGATGGCCTGGAGTGTATACTCGTGTTTCCAGTTATGTCGATTGGATCAAGAGCGTGATAAGGGCTTAGTGATTCATTCACTCGTGTATCCTGAGCAGCTTCAATGGTGCAAAAGGAACTTAGTGACGATGATATTATTTTGAATATGAAGCTTTAAAACCGGGACGAGATGGAATCTATGATTGCTTTTGTAAGACTGAATTCAATCATACATTAATTATGTTTAGTTTGTTATTAATCAAGCACTCTTTCTGCGGAGCTACTTGCAAATACTTCTATGAGAAAGCAATAAATCGATACTGTAAGACTAATGCTGCTTTTGCAACGAATTAGCTCCGAAATTTTTAACGAATTGGTCATGTTTTGCGTTAAGGTCTCCAGAAAATTTCATGTGATTTAGTATACAATCTTTAACTCTAAATGTTTTTGACTTACGTTTAATAATTTACTATCGTTTGGTACTAACCCGGAATAAAATCTATTTTCACTAGACTAACGAAATCCTGAATACAATCAATTTAGTAAATTATTCAAATTAACTTTTAGCTAACAAATTTACCGTGATTAACTTAGCAAAGGCAATTCAGAGTGTAATAAACTTAACATATAATGATTCCTAGTATAATAAATTTTATGTCTCTTCAATAAGCGAATAGCTAATTTTTCAACTCACTGCTTAAGTAGAATAACAAATATAGTTTTTAAGAAACCAAATTTAGGGTCTTATGCATATAAACGCGATAGTTTAGCTAATAGGGGAAATGGATGTAGTGTCGGTCAAAATGCCCATAATTTGGGCCCATACATAAATTCAGCAATCGACTAAATTTTCAATAGCGACCAAAAATATCCATTTCACGTTTATCTAGATAAAATTGATAAATAGCAGATTTTTAGCAATGGGCTCAATCTTAGATCCATAGGCCAACATTAGAGCCATTTCCCCTGCATTTTGAAAGCATTTTTCGATATTTTATCACACCAATTCGGTCCTCTCGATGGCCTTTACTTATCATGTTACCCTTTGTTCTTCCCAAGATCTGCTTCTGTCAGCTGTTGACCATTCAGTTGGTCCCGCATGGTTGATTTGAAGGTGCGTTCATCGACGAGGGGTAACAGTCCTCCCAGTAGTTGAACCCTGGTCCAGCATACTCATATTTGCCCTGATGTTCAGAATCGCCAATTTCACCGCTGGTCTCTTGTAGAACCCGGACGCGGTCTGAACCGTTGCGTGATCGTCTTTCGAAGTCTTGACTGCGACTACTCTTCCTTTCGGCCAGCAGTTTCTAGGGAAACTAGGATCGACGACGATAACAATGCTGCCAACAGCAATTGGTTTTGCAACGTTGAACCACTTTGCCCGGCGGGTGATTACAGGAGTGTAATCAAGAACTCAGCGTTTTCAAAAATAGTTGGCAAGAATCTATTAATCGTTTTCCAGGATTGCCGGAACGCCAAAGCACTATCATCATACTGTAGAGAAACTAGCAACACTGCTTCATTGCATATATTAGAGTAAAAAGTTCCTTGTTTCTCTTAACAGTGTATGTTGCTATTACCTTTCCATCGTTCAATTTTTCTTGGCAATCGCAAAAGTACAATCAGAATAAACAAACGTGTTAGAACAAGTTATGTCCGTACCGTGTAGGTTTCAATCCGAATTCCGATATTTCGTCCGATTCCATCCGTTTGTGCGTGTCTGCCTGGTTCTTCCCATAGGTTATGGGCCCAGCGCATCGGAGTCGCGTTTGTTTGGTCGGTTTGCGTGCGGTTGATTTTTCCTTCGGTTCCAAGATGAGTGACTGGTATCGTTCACAAAGTTGAATGCTTCCAACTATGAAAATTGGAGCTTCAAAATGAAACTGCTCCTAATGAAGGATGGATGTTGGGAGGCTATCGACAAGGCGAAACCGGAGCCCGTTACACCCGCATGGGAGACGAAAAATCAGCAGGCCATGGCAACAGTCGGATTAGCTTTCGAGACAGTCAGCTGATCCACATTCGGAAAAGAACCCTCAGCACGAAAGTTTCTCTCATGCGAAAAATTTGCCGTCTCCGGCTGGAGCACAACGGTGATGGAAGCTCACATTGCGACGCTGACGGATCTAGTGGAAAAATTGAACGGGTTGCAGGCAAACGCTGTTTTGGATGATCAGTGGCTCGTGGTGATTCTGTTCAGTAGTCTCCCGGAAGAATATGAGACACTAGTGACTGCTTTGGAAGCAAGGCCTGATGCGGATTTGACCTTGGACCTCGTTAATGCTGGGTTTAGACTAGGCAAGTCAAATGATCAACTCAGTTGAATTCAATTGGCTTGCAAAGTTGAGCCTGGTTCAACTTTTTTCAATTCAAGTGAGTTGATCAAGTCAGTTGAATGGCATGGTTTACACGTTCAATTCGCGTTCAAGTCAGTTGAATTCAACTGACTTGATCAATTGACTTGCCCTGTTTAAACCCAGCTTAAAGGCAAATGAATTGACGAGTGGCCGAAGAAGGCGAATCGCGCGGACAGTGACAAAAGTGAAGCAACAGCTTTGCATGCGGCAGCCGGCAGAGAAGAGGTTAAGTGCTACTTTTGCAAAAAGCCGGGCCACAAGAAAGCAAGCTGTGACAAGTGGAAGAAGTGGAAGGACAATAAGAAGAAAAGTGATGCGAAAGAAGAAAAATCTGGCAATAAGGCTCACAGTGTAGTGCAAAACGATGTCGATGCGGTTGAATGGGTGTTCGCGGAAGGTGACCTGGCACCGGGTGTTTGGATTCTGGACTCTGGCGCAACGTGCCATATTGCGAATAGCCGTGATTTTTTCGAGTCGTTTGACAGCAGTGTCAGAGAAGATGTGAGTGTCGCGAATGGAGTGAAAGTGAGATCCACAGGAAGAGGATCTGGCAAGTTGATTGTTGTTGACAGTGCGAACAAACGTCGTGTGATCACAATTAATGATGTGCTGCTGGTGTCAGACATGAAAGCGAACTTGTTGTCAGTGAAGCGATTAGTGAGCAAAGGCTTCGAAGTGAGCTTTGATGCGAAAGGTGCAACCAGTAGTCGAAATGGGACTGTTGGTGCTGTGGCCGAACATTTGAACAATTTATTTGTGTTGAAACTGCTCAATGAAAGTGTATCGCTGGTGGCTGAAGCCACTGAGTGCATTCATCAATGGCACCGTAAGCTGGGGCAAAGAGACAGTGATGCAGTGAAAAAGCTCCCGTTGATGACATCGGGGATGAAGATAAAAGAGTGCAACTGTTCGGAAGAGTGTGAAGTGTATATTCGCGGGAAGATGCATCGTGTGTCGTTTCCGAAGGCGTCGAGCAGCAAGTCGTCGAGCGTTTTGGACCTGATCCATACGGATATCTGCGGTCCGATGCGGACAGTGACGCTGAGCGGCAGGCGTTACTTCTTGACGTTTATAGACGACTTCAACAAGTATACGGTTGTCTACATCCTCAAGCGAAAGTCGGAGACACTGGACAGGCTGCGAGAGTACGTTGAAATGGCTACCACCAAGTTCGGTAAGAGGCCAAAGATGCTTCGCTCGGATAACGGAGGTGAGTACACTGGGAAAGAAGCAGAATGGCATTGTCGGCCAATTCACCGCACCAACAAAACGGCACCGCGGAGCGCAAAAACCGGTATCTTGTGGAAATGGCCCGATGCATGATGATTCAAGCAGAGATCGATGACCGGTTCTGGGGTGAAGCTATAGCAACTGCGAATAATCTTCAAAATCGCCTCCCTTCTCGTACGGTTCCAGTAACACCGTATGAACGTTGGCACGGAGTAATGCCTAATCTGGTCCATGTACGCCCATTCGGCGTCGATGTGTATTGTTATATACCGAGTGAAAAGCGGAGCAAGCTTGACGAAAAGGCGAGAAAGCTGAAGTTTATGGGCTATAGAGCGGTTCCATATCATTAAAGCAACGAGTAATTTTCATCTTTTTTGATTTGCATGAAACCTTGCATACAAGTTTTTGGGGAAGAAAAACGCCGTTTTGCATACTTGGTTCGCCATTTTGAATCTAGCCTTACTTATGAGAAGGGCCTATGAAAAATGCACATGATATCTTCAAAAAAATGGTATCTCGGAAACGGTTTGTTCGATTGGTTTGGTGTCTTGGGCGAAGTTTTAGACAATTGTTGGTGTTATATGGAGAAAATATGCACGGTAAAAAAAAAAGTTTGGTATTTGTGTTTTGAACTCAAATATAAATTTTCCCTTTAAAGTGACATGTCAATAATTTTTTTATTATCCTTATGTTATAGCTGACTAAAAATGCTATCTAGTGCACAGTAGGTTGTTCTGGAGAAAAATAGGTTACGATGAAAAAAATTGTTTTTTAAAAAAATACAATTTTTAAAAAAGCTATTAAAAAAAGTCAAAAAAGTTTGTCACCCTAATTTTATGAAAGTACATCAAATTTGCAAACAAAAAGTACTTCGGTAACATTTTTCTAAGATGCACCGTTTAGAAGATATTACTGATTTAATATTGTTTTTTTTTGATAACTTAATAAGTTTTGGCCCTTTTCGGATGTACTCCGTGTTTTTCCAGTTTCAAAAGTATTTTTTTCGGAAAGATTGGAAAATTTTGAGTTAAAATGATACTGACAGCTTAAAGATTCGAGTGAAATTCTCTGCCTTAAAAGTATTTTGAAAAACAAGTTACAAAATCCCACTATCAGGAACAATGATTTCTTCAAGTGATTTTTGGTGCGTTGTGCTGAAAATGTGCATTCAACTCTTGCATATCGCCTAACAGTTTAATCCATTTAAACTGGGTGTGTTTATACTGTGCATATTTTCTCTCTATTGCCGAACATCGCCACAGACATCAAACCGATGAGACAACTCGATTTCGAGATACACCTTTTTGAGAACTGCAAATGTAAGCTCCTCAATTAGCAAGATTCAAAAGAGCGAATTAAGCTTATTTTTCAGGGATGGTGATTGTGCGCAATAAAAAATAACATTATATGTTGGATATCATCAGTTTATTTTTATTCCTGTATTTTTATAAAATTATTGTTTAAACAACTTTCTTAACAATATTGAATATTTTGGCATCATTGTCAGGACAGTTTGAATAAAGCTTTGCCTTTATTGTATTTTCTGATAGAGGAAGAAATGAGTGGAATTTTAGAGTTCCTTGAATTGTTTTTGCATTATTATATTGATTATTTAGCTGCAAAGACATATTTTCGTATTCTTCTGTAGTAGAATAAAAAAATGACAACTTTGTAAGTTCTTCTTCTTTTCGTTTGTTTGCCCAATTAAACAACTCTCTTGCAGTCTTTATCGGGTGTTCGCGTTCTTTGGCTAAACTTGCTCTGGTAGCCATGCGTTTTATCGTACCTCCAATAGCATCGCATGGACCTTTTCCGTGCGATGTTGCGAAGAAATGCCATTCAGCGTCAATACCATACTTTGACTTAAATTTACAAAGGCTAGAAAAGTTTTTTCGGTTTTTATACTGTGAAGCAGCACCATCTGACATAAAATAATTTTTTTTATGTTTTTATTTTGATCAATTTGTAAAAAGTTTATCATTTTATCAATAAACAAATTGACAGCGACTGAATCATGTCTTAGTTCTTCAGAAATTATAATGAAGCTAAAATGTTTAATTTGCATATTTTCAGTATAATATATTACGAAAGGATGGATTGTGGCCTGTTGCACGTTCCAATGGTGTAATTGAACTTCATCCTGCAAAACGAAGCTGTAATTTTCAGAAAAGTCACAAATAGCTAAAAATTCACCATCTTGCAAGTTTTGTTTTGTAGTTTTCATAAAATTGGATTGTTCGGTTTTTACAAAATCATGCGGAATCAAACTTTCTAATTTTGAGCTGAAAAATGAAACAAACTCATCGGTTTGCTTTACAATAGTTTCTAAATCACATCTGTCAGTGGTAACCCATTGTTCGAATGAAAGCTTTTCAACAAAGTTTTCTTCCAGTTGTTTCAATAAACTGTCTTCTAAAACTGAGGTATCTGGGCAGTTTTTACATCTTCGTAGATGGCAATGAGTTGTCTTATTTTCGCAAAGTAATCTATTCGTTAATGTTTTTAGATCATTCAAGACATTGTATTTTTTTAAGCTATGTAGAATTAAATTGACATTTTCATGCGTAGTGCAAACGCAAACATTATGTGTTCCTGTGATAGTCAATAGTTTACATTGCCTTGGCCGGAGGCTTGCAAATGATGAAAACCCTATTTTTACATTGACGTACATTTCATTAAAGTGATTAAAAGCTTCTCTCAATGTCATCATTAACAATCTTTTCTGAACAGCTAATCTCTTATTTCCTGTCTTTACGCTAACAAAATCTCTTTGGCCTGGCATTGTACGGCTTATATCATCGTCCTCAAAAAAATTCAAAACCAGTTCTTTTGTTTCATTACTCAAAGCTTTTCCAGAGCTTGAACCTTGAGATGAATCAAATACATTATCTCTTTCCTTTCTTGCATCTGATGCCATATTTCTACTGGTTTTAAATTCGTCTACAATTTTTTGTACTGACCATGATTTTGGCAACAATGATAAAATTGATAGTTTTTCTTGCCTTGTGGCTGAATTTAAAAATTTAATTTTCATATTTTCTATGACTTCATCAAACTCGTTTGCTTTTTCTGTTTTAGCGTCTAATTTAAAAAGATTTCTTCGTACACCTTCGACGATTTCAGCGCACTTTTTTCAGGATAGTGAACATTTTTAACCTTACCTAAATCTATAGGCGAAACACGAATAGCTGCTATTCCTCGGTTGAATATTTCGACGTCTACAGGCATCGTGAAGTCTTCATTTGATTTAATTGTGCTTAGCGTTGACTCTGATGGTATCGTGACCAAACTTTCAACAGTTGGCATCCTTGAGCCGCCGGCTACGCTTTGTTCCTCGTTTTGGGTGAGGTGAGCTCTTGAATCAATATGTAGACGGCAAGACGAACAAACACGAAAATCCTTGGTGTTCAGTGTGGATACCTTGGAAAATCCAATTGATTTTAGTTTTTGGATGATACCATCCGTGAGATATCGCAGCTCTTTCGAACACTGAATGTCTTTGAATGGGCGAATACATCTTATTTTACTCATTTTGTAATCTGTAACATAGAAAATATTTTCCAATTGTTAGTTTTGTACGAAAATATCACAAAACATATAATTAAAATGTGTATTTAAAACTTACCTTTGCACCAAAACGTGTTACACTTTCCTTTACAATTATTATGTTATCAAACAACACTGGATCTCGTTCAAAAACACAGGATTATGAGCTGAAATTACTATAATCACTATGCTACTAGCAACCTTTCTGCATTTACTGTTTGGTTTTCCCTAGTAGATACTGGATGAATTCAGAACCGAGTCAGACATTATTATACAGCTCACGGGTAGAAATCATAGAATGCTGGGTAAAGACTGTTGGAAGATAGGTAGAGTTGAACGCTCAGGTATCGTCGAACCTTCAGGTACGAGTTTGGAGAGTTGGAGCGAGGTAGATTTGCTGGCGTAGGTATATTGTTATTGAAGTAGATTGTAAATTGTAAATACCTGGAATGAATAAAGAGTGCGGCGGTTGTTGATTGAGGTATCAGTCGGCAGCCCTCTAGTTTGATGGAAGGTGACTACTGCGTTCTTTTTATTTATTATTAAGGAACGGTCAACGACGGAGCTAGCCTCGTTATGGCCAGCGTGGCCATGGTGGACTAGTTCCAACAAAGACCATGTTTACAATCACCAACTGTACGTAGTACAGCTAACTGGTATCTGATTACCTGTATCTAATACTTGTTAGCACATTTTCAGCACAACGCACCAAAAATGATTTGAAGAAATCATTGTTCCTGATAGTGGGATTTTGTAACTTGTTTTTCAAAATACTTTTAAGGCAGAGAATTTCACTCGAATCTTTAAGCTGTCAGTGTCATTTTAACTCAAAATTTTCCAATCTTTCCGAAAAAAATACTTTTGAAACTGGAAAAACACGGAGTACATCCGAAAAGGGCCAAAACTTATTAAGTTATCAAAAAAAACAATATTAAATCAGTAATATCTTCTAAACGGTGCATCTTAGAAAAATGTTACCAAAGTACTTTTTGTTTGCAAATTTGATGTACTTTCATAAAATTAGGGTGACAAACTTTTTTGACTTTTCTTAATAGCTTTTTTGAAAATTGTATTTTTTTAAAAAACAATTTTTTCATTGTAACCTATTTTGCTCCAGAACAACCTACTGTGCACTAGATAGCATTTTTAGTCAGCTATAACATAAGGATAATAAAAACATTATCACTTTAAAGGGAAAATTTATATTTTAGTTCAAAACACAAATACCAAACTTTTTTTTTACCGTGCATATTTTCTCCATATAACACCAACAATTGTCTAAAACTTCGCCCAAGACACCAAACCAATCGAACAAACCGTTTCCGAGATACAATTTTTTGAAGATATCATGTGCATTTTTCATAGGCCCTTCTCATAAGTAAGGCTAGATTCAAAATGGCGAACCAAGTATGCAAAACGGCGTTTTTCTTCCCCAAAAACTTGTATGCAAGGTTTCATGCAAATCAAAAAATACAAAAAATAAAAACTGGAAAAATTTCCCACTTGTTCGTGGAACCGCTCTATAGTGAGGTGTCGAAGGCATACCGCCTGATCGACGTTGCAACTGGGAGAATCACGATCAGTCGTGACGTGAAATTCTTGAACAGTTTCGAGCCTGTGTTGAAAGCAGTCGGTCAATCTCCGTGTAGTGAAGTAGTGGTACCTCTATCGAATAAGACAGCGGCCGAGGATCCGGCTGTGGTTGAGCCATGCGATTTACCCGCAGATGATCAAGAAGAAGACGTCTGGGAGGATGCGCCGCCTGTTGACGACGAAGAAATGTTGAGAAGGTCAACCAGGACAACGAAGGGTCAATTGCCGGCTCGGTATGCTGGCTCGGTATGCTTGCTCGGCGGAAGATGTGGTTCAGGAGGAGCCCAAAAAGCTTTCGGGTCCGGATAGCCACAACTGGAGGAAAGCGATGCTGGATGAACTCGAATCGATCAATAGCAGTGGTGCTTGGGAATTGGTCGATGCCCCACAAGGAAAGCGAGTTTTGGGGTGTAAATGGATTTTCAAACTAAAGCGCACCGCCGATGATAAGGTCGTTAGGTTCAAAGCCAGACTCGTAGCACAGGGCTACAACCAGCAGTATGGGAGTGAGTACGACGAAGTATTCGCACCCGTTGTTCGTCAGACCACATTCAGAACTCTCATGTCTGTTGCGGCAATGCGAGGAATGGTTGTGAGGCAGTTTGACATAAAGACGGCGTTTCTCAACGGCGACCTTGAGGAGGAGCTGTTCATGCACCAGCCGTCGGGGTTCATCGTTGAGGGTGCTGAAGGCAAGGTCTGCCGTTTAAAACGTAGCTTATACGGGCTGAAGCAGAGCGCTTGTTCATGGAACATCAAACTTCATCAAGTGCTGGAAGGTGACGGTTTCAAGAGAAGCGAAGCGGACCCGTGTCTGTACAGTAAGGTGGTCAACGGAAAACGCTGCTACATCCTGGTCTACGTTGATGATCTGATCATCGCCAGCCAGAAAGAAAGAATCATCACGTTTGTCAGCCGGACATTGGATCGTTACTTTGAAATCGTTAGTCTAGGAGAAGTGCGGAATTATGTCGGCATCGAAGTGGAACGTGATAGTGCTGGTGACTTTCACATCTCGCAGCGCAAGTACATTGCGGATATCGTGAAGTCAGCCGGTTTACAGGATGCAAAATCTTCTGCGATCCCCATCGACGTTGGCTATTTCAAGCCGGACACCAAAGATAAACCTCTTTCGGATAACTCGGAGTATCAAAAGCTAGTGGGAAAGCTGTTATTTGTTGCTGTGAATAGTCGACCCGATATTGCAGCTCCTGTTTCGATTCTGAGCCGTAAACTTACGAATCCTACGCAGCGTGACTGGAATGAATGACGCAGAATTGTGCGATACTTGAAGGGTTCAATCAATCTGAAGCTTAGGCTAAGCGGTCGTGAAGATAAATCTGGATTGGTGGGTCATGCTGATGCCGATTGGGAGGAATGCCGGTTGGATCGCAAATCCAACAGCGGATTTCTGTTCAAGTTCTGTGGCGGTACCATATCCTTCGTCGCCTTATGCGAGGCTTCTCAAGAGGCAATCTGGCTTCAGCGACTTCTACATGATCTGGGTGAAAACGTTCAGGCAGTGCAGCTAAATGAGGACAACCAATCTTGCTTGAAGATGCTGCAATCCGAGAAGTATAGCAACAGGACGAAACATATTGATACGAAGTACAATTTCGTGAAAGATTTGTATCGAACTGGAGTCATCGAGTACGTGTATTGCCCGTCAGAAGTAATGGTAGCCGATTTGCTTACCAAGCCGGTGGCACGTCTTCGAGTTGAACAACTTCGACGATTGAGTGGTCTTGAGGAGGAGTGTAGAGAAACTAGCAACACTGCTTCATTGCATATATAAGAGTAAAAAGTTCCTTGTTTCACTTAACAGTGTATTACCTTTCCATCGTTCAATTTTTCTTGACATTCGCAAAAGTACAATCAGAATAAACAAACGTGTTAGAACAAGTTATGTCCGTACCGTGTTGGTTTTAATCCGGTGTCAACGGCGGAAGACGATTCATCATCGATGGGATCATGAGTCAATGGTCTACTGTAGGAGTAAAATTTACGTTTATTTTCAGGTTTTTTATGTTTCAACAATTGGTTTAACATTTCAATTGGTTAGCCTTTGGCTCTTCATCTTTGTTCTAATTAATTGGTTATTCTAATGTGATGATTGCGTTTAGCGCTAATTTACAGGATACCCTTTTATGGGATTGTTTTCGTTTGAATTAAAAAATGTGACAACCTACCTACATGAGCACAGGAACCTACCTAACTAATTAAACTAGGTTGCCAAATCACGAATGATCTGGTGATTTGATCGCATACAGGCGAATCTGAACCTTTCCAGCGTGGAAGTCTTTCACTCCTCGAGTGTTTGAAGACCGGCCAGGTGGTGAATCTCAGAATTACGAGCTCGCGGTGGACTGTTAAGGATCATTCTGAGGATCTTGTTTTGGATCCTCTGAAGCTTTAGGTGGTGGCACTTAGCACAACTCTCCCAGATTGGCATACCACACTCAATAGCCAGCAGAATGATCTGCTTGTGGACAGCGAGCTTGTTTTTAAGGGACAGGGTGGACTTCCTGTTTATCAGAGGGTAGAGCAACCTGATCAAGATGTTACACTTGGTGGATGTCTTGTCCACATGGGATCGGAATAGCAATTTGCTATCGAGGGTGAGACCAAGGTGGACTACTTTACTTGACCATTCAATGGGAGTGCTATCAAGATGGATCTTGACGTTAGCAGGCGGAAAAAGCCGAGGTGAATACGAGTGTGGAAACAGAATGGTTTGTGTTTTAGCTGCATTGATACAAATCTTCCAGCTCTTAAAATAGTCGGACAAAACATCCAGGCCTGATTGTAGTTTACTCGCCAGAGTACGGATCACTCGATCCATATAGATGATGGAGGTGTCATCTGCGAACATTGAGAGGATACCACCACCCGGCAGGGGAAGAACGTCTGACGTGAAAAAGTTGAATAGGATAGGCCCAAGCAGGCTATCCTGAGGGACCCCTGCATCAACGTTGAACGTATCAGAGGGGACATTGTTCAAATAGACCTGGAATGATCTGCCCGACAAGTAGTTTTTGATGACCTTCACGAGGTAGATCGAAAAGTTGTATCGATGCAGCTTGTACACTAGACCATCATGCCAGACATTGTCGAACACCTTTTCGACGTCCAACAATGCCATGGCAGATGTATTGGAAACGGGCTTATTCCGCTTGATGATGTTAGTAACTCTACATAGTTGGTGGACCGTTGAATGACCTTTCCTAAGCCTGAATTGCTCGTTGAGTAAGATGTTATTTTCGTTGAAGAATTCCAGCAACCAGCTGAGTATGATCTTTTCGAATAGCTTCGAGATGGAGGACAAGAGGCTGATGGGGCGATAACTTTTGGCTCTGGTAGGATCTTTGCCAGGCTTGTGTATTGGAATCACTTTGGCTAACTTCCAGCATGCAGGGAAGTAGCCAAGCTCCAAACATTTGTTGAAGATAACGGTAAGATGGTTGAAGAAGTCAATACTCAAGTTTTTCAACTCCATCCATACCCGCAGCCTTCATGTTTTAATAGCTGCTATCAGCCGATATTCTACTAGCATCATGCACTACTACGGGGTTGTCAGCGACTCTAGACATTGCCTCCAGTACGGCAGGCCCATGGGGGCTCACCATGGTTTGGCCAAGATTATGTGAAATCACAAAATGTTGGCCAAGAGCATTGGCCTTTTCAACTGGGGCTATGAGTAGGGATGGGTCCAAGTTCTGGTCAACAGAGGAAAGCGAAGGGATCGGTTTCGACTTATTTTTTCAAATTTTGGTCATCTTCCAGAATGGTTTTGCACAATCTGGGAGAGAGCGAATCTTGTTGGCAAAATCGTTATTTCTAAGTTCCACCATCCTGGCCTGGATAATTTTGGTTAGCCTATTGACATTGGTCTTCAAGTAGGGCAGCCCAGAACGCTGCAACTACCTACGAATGGTATTATGGATCCTGATAAGATCTTTGGTTGGGCTGTAAAGGTTCAGAGTATGACTCATCTGTCTGGATACTGGTACCTGTTGCTCCCTGGCACGGGATATTGCCTCTTCGATGGTTTGCAGACACTGGTCGACTTCTTCGAACGACTCTGGTAGGACGTCGTAATCGATTACTGGTCCACACAGCACTGACACTGCTGCCAGTTGACACGATGGTAATTTCGCCAGGAAACTTCTTATAACCTATTGGCCGAGGAACCCACTTCGGCCACCACCGGATAGTGGTTCGAGCTCATTTCTTGATAGACGATAGGTTGAGAGATGTTATAGCCAATGTTGCTGGTGGCATGAGCTCCGGATCGACTCAACCGGGTGGGAGTGTCCGGATACAGGATATTGTTGTGGGCTTCCTGCAGATCGTTGTATAAGATTGTGCCGCGTTCTGGTTTCGCCGACTATTGCTCCAGGCTTGATGCTTGACGTTCAGGTCGCCAGCGATGACGAAATTTTGCCACCGTCGTGTTAGCTTGATGATGTCTCTTCGGAGGTCTGCGGCCGAGCCGTTCCTTTTGTTGGTTTGCTTGGGGCAGTAGACCACGATGATGGTGATTGGACCAAGCGATGTGCTCACCTCAACTCCGATGGCTTCGATAATTTTCAGCTGGAAGCTTGGTAAAGGGTGATACGGTAAAAATTTGGTCAATATCAACTTGACGTATTTCTTTCAATTTTGCATTTAAAAAACCTGAACACCCCTCATGTTGAAGGTGTGTGTGTAGAATGTTGCTCCTATTTTGATTTTGGAATTCACTCTTCAGTTGTCAAAATGCTGTCCAAGCAAGAAGAGCAGCGTATCAAAATTTTGCTCGCGCATCGCGAAAATCCGAGCTACTCGCACGCAAAGTTGGCAAAATCGCTAAAAGTTGCCAAATCAACCGTTACAAATGTAATTAAAGTGTTTGGGGAACGTTTGTCGACAGCCAGGAAGTCTGGATCGGGGGGAAATCGAAAACCGGAAGCCGCTGAGACGACAAAGAGAGTTGCCGGTAGTTTCAAGCGAAACCCTAACCTCTCTCTCCGAGATGCCGCAAATAAGCTGGGTGTATCGTCTACAACCGTGCATCGAGCCAAAAAACGAGCCGGACTATCGACTTACAAGAAGGTAGTGACTCCAAATCGCGATGATAAACAAAATACGACGGCCAAAGCGCGATCCCGGAGGCTGTACACGACGATGCTGACGAAGTTTGACTGCGTGGTAATGGACGACGAAACCTACGTCAAAGCCGACTACAAGCAGCTTCCGGGACAGGAGTTTTATACGGCAAAAGGAAGGGGAAAGGTAGCAGATGTTTTCAAGCACATGAAACTGTCAAAGTTCGCAAAGAAATATCTGGTTTGGCAAGCCATCTATACCTGTGGCTTGAAAAGCAGCATTTTCATAGCTTCCGGGACTGTCAACCAAGAAATTTACGTGAAAGAGTGTTTGAATAAACGTCTGCTGCCTTTCCTGAAGAAACACGGTTGTTCCGTACTGTTTTGGCCGGATTTGGCATCTTGCCATTACGGTAAAAAGGCCATGGAGTGGTACGCCGCCAACAACGTGCAGGTGGTTCCCAAGGACAAGAACCCTCCCAACACGCCAGAGCTCCGCCCAATTGAGAAATACTGGGCTATTGTCAAGCGGAACCTAAAGAAGACCAAAAAAACTGCTAAGGGCGAGCAGCAGTTCAAGGCAAACTAGCTTTCTGCGGCGAAGAAGGTGGACAAGGTGGCTGTACAAAATCTGATGGCAGGGGTCAAGCGTAAGGCCCGGCAATTCGGATTTGGAAAAGCGGAAGCCTAACTGAATATTTTTCCTGAATTTTATACTAATTGAACTTGAAAAAGAAATTTAATTTGATTTTTTAAATAAACGATTTCACCGATTTACACGCGTTTTCCCTTGACCAAATTTTGACCGTATCACCCTTTAGTAGCCGGCAGCTGATGTTCCGTCTCGCAGGAATGGCGGAGCTGGTGCGGTCAAGCCTTACGAGCCGAAAGTCGGGAAGGACGACGTTCAGCTCGGGCTTCAAGCGAGTCTCGGTGATGACGGCTATGTCGATGTGCCGTTCTTTGAGAAAGTCAACAAACTCGATGTTTTTTCTCTTCAAGGAGCAAGCATTCCAATTTACGATCTTGATGGCTTCACGGTCTATACTTAGTGACAAGGGACAAGGCAGCGTGTAGCTGTTCAGATCGAGTCTTGCATGTGCGCATGATGATGATCTCGGCCACGAGCGTCACAAGTTCCTGCGAGGTGAGCGGAGAATCGTCGACAGGTTCACCTGAGACAGCACCAGTGTATGATAAACCAGGGGCGGTGGATGAACCTGGAATTGGCTGGACCACAGCAGTAGCGAGACGAACATGTTGCCAGGGCTGGAGAGCTGGGTACTGGACTTCCGTGAGTACAGGAGGCAAACAATGATTACGGAGGCGACCGAGCTGGTTGTTGATTGTAGCCTTCCAACGGATATTCATGAACTCCACTCGCTTGAGACATCCGCGATTGGAGGATTGGTGGTTTCCACCGCAGTTGACACACGTTGGCTCGATGTCATCAACTTGCTCACAGGACGCAGTTGAGTGAGTTCCAGCACACTTGACGCAGTTTGTCTTCATATGGTAGTTTTTGGTGCCATGGCCATAGGAGAGGCAATTCATACATTGCGTAACATCACGATGTTGGGGTTTG